TCACTTTTTCTCCCATCTTCCAATGATACCATGTTAAGTATTGTCTTTCAAATTTTTTGGTCAAAAAAATTTGTACTTGTAGTATGATTGTTTAGTAAATTCACGTATCATTTAAAGAAAGAAGAAATAAAAAAGTAAAAGTTAACAAGACTGGAGGACAATAATTGGAATGCATGAACACCGATAAAATTGGAAAATTGAAATTTCAAGATGGGTGACGTTGTTTAACATTTTGTAGTATTAACGTGCAAGTGGTGGGTCCCATCATTTATATAATATAACCATTTAGCATTAATTACAAAATTATTTATCCATATTGCCGTGGAATATAAGGTCCTGTTTGAGCCCATTAATTTGAAGAAATGTATTATGGAGTAGTGATTGATATAGAAATTATTTGAGTCTGGTCTCAGCTTTTGGCTATTTGAGCTGGTTTTGAGGACCACTGTTGTTAAATCTTTTACCTTTAACAAAAGTTATTATATATTTTTTATTAAGAAAAAAAAAGAAATTGAAATAAAAATACTATTTAAAAGATAAAATGGCTTATCTTAATATTCACAGTTTTTTATAGAAAATTTCACCTTTATCCCAACCAGGCACATACTTCGTTTTTAAAGTGTTTTTTGGAGATGTATTCATATTTTTATCTTTCATTTTTATTCTCCATGTACTATTTCCCTCTTACTCTGTTTTTATTAAGATTCGCGGTGCCATAAGACCATACAAAGTTCCCAATGCTTTGAATTTTCTTTTAATTTATGAAACGAACATATATTTGCTAACTAGCATGAAATTGATTAGCAACACATTTTCATCAAAATTTATCAAAATTTACTAAAAATTGTTGTTTAGCAAAATCAAATAGGGGGCAAAAAACAAGTTTAATTTATTTCACTTCCCTCACAAATGTCTCGCCCTGCAATGATCACACTTTTTCTACATGGGATTAAAGCAACCATGGCCGGCAAGAGGAAGGCAAAGTTCGAGGCTCAGCCGAAGATGAACAAGAAGAGGAAGGCTTGACATGAGAAGAGTTAATAGCAAAATTAGACATATTGGATGAAAAAGGGTTATTTCGGCAATGTTAGATATGATCTTGTCAATAAAAATAATGTTTGTTGAAACTTATTTATTTATCAATTAATTTAATTATTAGTATAATCTTGAAGTTGAGAAAACATGAATGTGAATTAAATCCAATTTATTTGAACCCTTAGAAATCTTGGTCGAGGTTTCTTACTTTGGATGTGATTCCTCATTCACTATGAAATGTGGTGGTATGGAGGATTGATGTTCACACCAAATAGTATTTTGAGAACAATAACATATAGTTATGTAATTTTGATTGCGTGTTTCGATCAGAGCTTTTAGTATTTTAGAAAGATTGGTCGTCAAATTCTTTAAAACAGAGTACCATTATGTAATTTCTTAATTTTTCATTGTTAGATATGTATCATTAATTATTTCAATCATAACTCCATCAGTCTATATTTCTTAAGATAAGAGTTGATTTTCTATTTGATAAGAAAAGATATACATGGACAACTAGACTTCTTTTATTTCATGGAGTGTCGTACACACTTTGTCTTGAATGTCCTGATTTTTGCCTCCTAAATTCAATCTTTCGTGGCGCGAGTTTCTTAAAAAAAAATTTAAATTTAAGTTCATCCTAACATCATCTTTTGGCTTTGACGAGGATGTGACTGAAATTTTTTTTGACCACTTGATCGGAGAGATTTGAAGTCAACAAATGCAAATAAATGTTTCTCTTCCTGGTTTTTTCATTCTCACAAGATGTCATTGTCGTAGTCTTAAATTTAATTACAATCATTTCAAATTCCAACTAATTTCCATTTTGTTTGGATTTATCTTTTACTTATACAAAAATATTGTTGATGATAGTTAAGTTAATCTCATACCATACCATACCATACCATACCATACCAACCATAAATCTCTATCGTTGACTTGTTTAACAAAACAGAGCACATTTGCATCAAAAAGAGGTACCACGTACCAGGGCCGGTCCTGGGCCGAGGCGAATGAGGCCCGTGCCTCAGGGCCCAGGACCATAGGGGGCCCATAATTTTGGGCCCTTTTTTTATTTTTATTTTTTTTATTTTTAATTAAACCCTCCCAGCCCAATAAGTGTAACCCACAAAAAACGGGAACCCAAATCCAAAATCAGAGTCGAAGCCCTCGCCGTGCGTTCCCCGTCTCCGACTCTCACAGTCTCACTCCGTCTGCAGTCTGCAGACTCTCCCACCACAGACAAGACGACCACGGGCACGGAGTCACGGACAACCACACTGCACAGCAGATCCAATTCCAGAGCTAGAGGGCAGCCCACAGCCGGCAGAGGTATATTCTTGCTTGGTCGAACTCGAACACTCGAAATCTCAAATCGAACTATTTTAGGTTTAATACTAGCGCACTGATAAATTATATCAACTATTTTAGGTTTAATACTAGTCTCGAAACTCAAATCGAAATCTGTTCTTGAGTTATGCCGCGTGAAGCACTGAACTGACTGAAGCACTGTGAATCCATCAAACCAAAGAGGTACTCATTTTGTTTTTGTTATTCTTTTGGTCGATCATAATATCATATTGGAACAAAAATTACAAAATGTTTCGATTACTTACAGAGATTAAAGAGACGATGAAACTTATTGGAAATCGCAAGAAAATTTTAAGGATTAGAATTATATAATTTACAATTTAGATTCGTTGTTTCTAATTTCTACATTTGTTTTTTGCTTGTTAATTAGGATCGGATTTTTGAGGAGGAATTTAGAACAGCGGATGTATATAACTCTCGGACCAGAGATATAGTTGCTGCTGCAGTTCGTGGCTTTAATGGTATGAGATAAGTTTTATTAAGTTGACTTATGTGCTGCACGGTTGTTATAATCTGGGCATTTTGATTTTTTTTATCCTTTTTGTGTTATTTTTATTTGGATAATTACATAAAAACATCAATAGGATTTCAGCCTTTAGAAGGATAACTAAATGGCTGATAAAGTTCCAATACTTTTAACTGCCAATACGGATATGGCAGAGAAAGAAATAAAAGGTCACCAAATGATATAGACAAAGGTTTTTAGTATTACTATCAAAAAAATAAGAGAAGTCATCAAAAATGATATAGACAAAGGTTTATCTTGAACGACGTGCCTCATCGTCTTTTATATTTATGTAAGTCAATTGAGGTAAATAAGTCAAATTCCTTTTCACTTATCCCAACGACGACCTTAGCTTCCAACGAGATTGAAGGTTTTAGAATATGACATTCTCTCTTTTGTGTTGCTTTCATTACAGATTTCCTGTTATAGCCTATTTGCAGCAAATATGATGGTTTGAAGTAGTTGGTGTGGTGAAGTTCCCTTTCAATCCAGATATATATACAACTGTGATTCTGGTAATAATATGCCTTTATTGTATCTCAATGTGGTTAGAATAATGTATCATAATTTGGATACCTTCTTACACTGGATAAGTTAAAGTATCATAATTTTATATAATTTTTTATTTCAGGCTTGTGAGTTGTGACGGGATCAGGGTGTAATTCCACAATTTTCATCCAAATTTCACTTCTCAGGTAAGTAATGGCTTGCCCTAACTTTTTATTGAAGAGATTGTAAATGTTTGAAGCCTTGCCGGCTTATATAATTGTAGCCTTGCCGGCTTATATGATTGCTATTATTGGCCTATCTCCATCTGCAATAGTCACCCAACGAACAAACAAAATACACATCTACTTCTTAATGCTTGGTGACTTGTCATCTTAATATCCAATTCCTTTAACCTTAAGGCCTCCATCAAGTCTCCTAACCCCTTAGTACTTCATACAGGATAGATAGATATATATCTTATAAGTCACATATGTCTCCAAATATGATAAGGGAAAAGTCAAATTTTGCTGCATCAAGCAACATCCTGCTTTAACACACATCATGCTTGTTAACTTGGTTGTGTGCAATATCTTCTTAAATCTTTAAGCTAGGATATGGCCCTAACCATTTAAGACTCTTTATATACCTCCTAATATCTAACCTTCAAGTTATCCCCAAGTGAAAGAGAAAGCAAAGGAAACAAAGAGAAGTAGAAACAAGAAGCTAAAAACTAAATTTATAGGTGAGTTTTTTAGTTCATGGTTTTGAAGGTTGTTTTCATTGTTTTTGAAGGTGTTACAATCTCTTAAGAATTTGAAATTGCTTGATATTATGTTTCAAGTTTGTTTGGGATGTTATTATGGCAAAAGAGAGAAAATTAGTAGAGGTATATTAAGTGAAATAACTGAGAACGGGAATTGCATAGTTGCTAGATTTTGCCTATTCAATCTTTGATTTTGGATAATTCTTTGAGTATAACTTTTAGTTATTAATATGAATGCTTTTATATTTGTGTTAGAAGTATATAAATGATCATAATAAAAATGCACGATTTGGTGTTAAATAAAAGGGATTGATTTTCAGGTTGTAAATAAATTACTTGTGATTTAATAACATATTTACGTGCGAGTATTATATAAGTGTGGTAAAAGTTTGGGAATTGCGATATGAGATCAAGGGTACAGAAAGTAAGTTGGAACAATAGAAATTGAAAAATAGATTCTGTCCATCTTCAGATTTTATCACCCTAAAGCTAGAAAATTTTGATTTGAATATGCGCTATGACATTAATGATCCAGTTAAATGATGTCTATATTCGTAGAACTTGGAAAATAATGGTAATTATACAGTCGGTTACTTGTAGTGTTAATCTAAAATATTTTGCCATCTAAGGTCTTTTTATGAATAAAATATTTTTGTACCTATCCTTGGAGGAGTTATTTCTCATCCTCCCTTCTTTCCTGCACTCTCTCATCCTCATCCTTCCTTATTAATGTATTTATCTTACTTAGGGGTGCGTTTGATGTGAAATTTTTGTTTCAGGGTCGGGAGTTGATAGCTTGTGACAGTGGAATTCTTGAAAGTGTAACTCCAAAGTTTTCATCAAAATTCTACTTGTCAGGTAAGTAATGGCTTGCCTTAACTTGTTATTGAAGAAATTGAAAATGTTTGAAGCCTTGTCGGCTTATATAATTGTGGCCTGGTCGACTTATATGATTGACTATTAGAGGATCAACAATTGCACAGGCGCACATAATAACTATATTGAAAACTCTAACCGTGTGATGATTTGAGATATTTTGTATTTGTTTTTTAGGTTAATCATTGAGCATCAGATATAGACTCATACACCATGCCTCCTAAATATGAGTCTGGTGCTCAAAAGAGAAAAAGGAAACGAACTGAGATTTCATTAATTCAAAGTCAAGCAGGGGATATTGGCAAGTACTTTAAAAGCAACAATATGAATACGTTGAATGAGGATGAAGTAGAGATTCAACCTGCATGTGTTAATGAAGTAGATGATAAGGATGAAGAAGTGAGTCAACCTACCGATGTTAACGAAGTAGATGATAAGGAAGAAGAAGTGATGAAGCCCGTCTCTAATGATGAAGAAGATGATAAGGAAGAAGAGGGTTGCTCTTCTCTAAATTTGGATGATCCCGGGAATTGGAAAATTATTGATCAGAGAACAAAGGATTACTTGGTTGAAAGGGGTCCAAAAAGAGTTGATGATATCTCGTTTCCGAAAGATTGTACAAATAGGCATTTTGATTCTTCACAATATAAACGATTGCTACGAAATGGGCAAACAATTGATAGAAGATGGCTAGTCTATTCAATATCTATGGACAGGATCTTTTACTTTTGTTGTAAGTTGTTTAAAACAGCCAAAAACGCTACCAGAGTTGGCCAACTTGGTAACGATGAATTCAAAGATTGGCATAATTTGCATCGGTCTATTAAAAGTCATGAAGGAAATGAAGAGCATTTATGTTGCATGACTAGCTGGATTGAATTGGAAAATAGGCTTCGAACAAAAACTACAATTGATAAAAGCGTTGAATTGTTGATCGATGCGGAAAGAGAACATTGGAGGCATGTACTAACAAGGATAAATTTGATGAAAACTGTAGTAATGAGGTAAAGCAATCAGCAGAAGAATCATTTAGAGTTGAGTACTTTGTTTTTATAATTGATCAAGCTCTATCTTCTCTGAGGACTCGATTTGAACAATTCAAACTATATGATGATATATTTGGATTTTTGTTTGATTTGAAGAGGTTAAGGAGTGCAACTTTATCAAGTTTGTTGAACTCTTGTATGAATCTTGAGAAATATCTTGAACATGATGGGCTTTCGGATATCAGTGGAGATGATTTATGTTCGGAATTACAAGTCTTGAAGATTTATTTACCAAATGAAGCAACAAGAGCAATTGAAGTGCTACACTATTTGAAGACATTGGATGTTTGTTTTCCAAATGCTTATATTGCTTACAAAATTTTATTAACCGTACCGGTTACAGTTGCATCTGCGGAAAGAAGTTTCTCGAAATTGAAGTTGATCAAGACTTATCTCCGATCAACTATGTCACAAGAAAGATTAAACGGGTTGGCTATATTATCAATAGAAAAAGAAATGGTTAAGCAGCTATATTATCAATAGAAAAAGAAATGGTTAAGCAGCTAAGTTATTCAGATTTGATTGATATTTTTGCCTCTAAAACAGCAAGACGAATAGTATTTAACTAATTGTTTGAAATTTTTGGTTTGATGGTTTATAATATAATCGTTTCTATGATATATTTCGTTGTTGTTTTAATGTTAGTTTTTTAAGTTAGCAATAAGTCACATAATACACCTTTGAATTTTGTCGATGGGGGGCCTAATTTTCATCATTCGCCTCAGGGCCCCTCAAACACAGGACGGGCTCTGCCACGTACGAGACAATAAAATGATAAAGTAAATGAATTGAATTTAAGAACTCATCCACTGATTGAGAAATTATTAATCCAATTTTGATTTTAAATGAAAAGTTCCATCATACTACTGCCAATCCAATCCTCAAATTTACGAATCGATAAGGAGTTGAAAGCAAAAGATTTAGAAGATCAATTTACGAGTATGATGGGATTGAATAAAATCAAGGGCGGATACGAGCATGGGTTCGATCGAACTATAGCCCGTATCCGGCCTGCAAATGTCCACTTTATTCTCAGTTTTTTTTTAAAGATAAATCCATATATATTTGTATTATAACTCGTGTCCAAACTCAAAACGAGATCCACCACTGAATAAAATAATCTGAACAATAAAACAATTGGTTCCTTGATACACTATAAAATAAATTCTGTCATTGCAATTAATCCATTGATATGTAAGTGACACTCCAATGGCCTTCCTTTATCATCTTCGTGCACATATCTACTAGTATGATAAAAAATACATAAAATTCTATAGAATTTTCATTGCGAACAATCTTTTCAAACTATATTACATCATCTTTTAAGTATACATCCCAATAATCACCAACAAGAACAGCAATGCTTCTATGTTAAGAGCATACCTATGTGCAAGTTGCAAATAAAATAGGGATTCAAGTGTCAATCAAAGATTTGTTAGAATTTTGCAGGAAATTTTGTATTATTTGGTGAATGAAAAATTAAGCCAAAATTTAAATCACTTAAATACGTGAATTATTGGAAAAGTGCGTAGAATATTATGAAATATTCTAGAAATTATTTGGTTGAAAATGTGTCTTTCTATATGAAAGATTATAACTTTTGGCATTATCATTTTCCAAAAGACATGTCTCTTCAAATATAGAGATTAATTACAATGGTTCTGTCTCTTCCATAGGTTGTGTTTTTTGGACTAACATTTTCAACATCTATATATTGACCCCATAGATTTGGATTTATTTATTCAGAAATTTCATTCCATTCCATATTTTACACTTTACTAAGCATAAAACGCTTTGACGTGATTATCTTTTACATCAAAATCATGGTTATGGTAGAGAGGGAATTTTATTCGAGTTCGCTGGTCGAAGTCATTTGGAGTGCTCATATGGCTTGACGTGGTCGTTGTATCTTGGGACATGATTGTCTGAAAATCGTTAGCACGGATGTGGGGCAAATTCATTTTAAGGAAAGAATTATACTCGCCTCGGCCAATAGCATCACTTGCATCTAATTTTTTCTTATTTTTGATTTCATTTCTCAATACTTGATTTCAAAAAATGATTAATTATATTTATATGATTTATGCAAAGTTCGATGTGAAGAATCACATGTTTTAATTTAAGAATGGGAATTGTCAGATTTGATAATCATTGGGTAGTTTCTCAAACTCTATTTCGGTAAGTCGAAACCTTATTTCGATTTTGTGAACGCGTAAGTTACGTTTTGTGAATATAATATGCACATTTGAATCGATGTATTCCCCAACAAGATGATACCTCGGCCGCTACCATTAGGGTATGCGCTGGGTAAACCCTCGTACTGATACAATAGCTTGCAAACCACGTTAACTAGGTAAATCGCACTAGGCAAGTCCTGTGCGACATGCTCAATCGAGAAAATGGGGGAGGGATTTACTTTCCTTCGGTGACGGTGTAGTTTTGGGGAAGATGATTTAGGACGTACAAACGATGAAGTGTAGAGGATTTGAGCGTATGAATTATGGGAGTAAAAGTTTTAATTTGTTTGAAGGTATTATTCTAATTGATTAGTTTTGGGGTATTGGGTCTAATTATCCCAAGGGAAGGAAAACGGGTGGATTGGATTTGGGCCTTCAATTTCACATGCAAAATTAATGAAATAGCACCAAAACTAACCTGATTGTGATTGTAATACTATTACATTAGTAGAAGTAACTAGAAAATTAGAAGTACGTTGCTCAACAATAATTTTTCCAGTATGGAAGAAATGTGTTGCTATAAACTAATTATATCTAAGAAATGGTAAAAATACAGAAAATTATTTTAAATTTCTAAGATTTAGAAATTTCAAGAAGAAAGAAAATGCTACTCGACAGTTATTTCTTTTTATAGAAGATCGTGAAATTTGATCACAAGATATTTTGAATTTGATAACTTCATTAACACGAGAGAATATTCTAATTTTCAGATTCAAGCGGATATAGTTTACCAAGTAAAAAATAATAATAATAATTAAAAAAAAAAAGTGACATTCATGTGTTAGAAAAACACGATTTTCCTAAATTAATATTGGCAACATATTAATACAATTATATTAGCTATTTAATATAATGGGCAAAAATCAAGTGGTCTATTTTTTTTATGCCCATAGACTACTCAAATTAATATGGACTAAGTGAGTAGATACCGGCTAATATTACTCTAATTAAGGGATAATGGGAACCTTAATTAAGTAGTATATAAAGGTTATTTTGGTTATGGTCCCCAATATACCAAATCATACACTATTTTCCCTTCTCCCCATCAAGAAGAGAAATCACGGTCCCATTGAGAAATAAAGAGATTTGATTGAGGAAGATCACAAAACCACCCTCTTCATTTGCATTCATCGGTACGTAGTCGATTGTCGCAGTAATTCTGCAACAGTAGGCAATTGTTTACAATTGATACATGTATATTATCTGAATCTGTGAATCCTAGTAATTTAGCATGATATTAATCCTAGGATTTAATTTATATTTGGATCTAATTTGATTTTCTATCAAGTGGTATCAGAGCGGTCATCATTTGCTAGATTATTAGGATTTGTGCATGTTCTATTCGTATGATATTTGGATTATTTTTCTCGAATAGAATGTTTGAATTTTGTGAAATTCCTTAAACTGTTAAGTTTAAGAATTATTCTTGATGGATTCGGCAAAATCTGATCTCGAAATTTTTGGCACAGTTAGTATTGATTTTAAATTCTGTCCGTGTCCATTTTAAGTTTTTTTTTTTGGGATCTGAATTTCATCTGCCTTTTAGACATCTGCAGTTTCAGATAATTTTATAATGAATTTCAATTGCATCAAGAGCAAGTCAGCAATTTTGGACTGTTTATAATTGATACATCACTTTTGGTAGCGTGTAGATCACTGTCAAAATCTGTGACCTTCATTATGGATCCAAAAATCAGAATTTCAACTGCATGGATTAGCCGCATTTTTTGACCCTTGTTTTATGTCTCATAATGGAGTCAATATAGAATGATGTATGACAGAATACTATTTGGCATATTTAGTGTAGATTGGTAATACACGTAACCTTTCACAATGGATCAATTTCAATTGCATTATATGATTCAGTTGCAATTCTTGACTTTTGTTTCATAATGAGTCCAAGACATGTGCCTTTTGGTTTAAAAAAAAATATATATATATATAAATATATAAATATATATATATATATATATATATATATACAAGAATTTTCTAATATTAAAAATTTATCAGATTCAGATGAAGAATTAGAATTTATGGATATAGAATTGGAATGTAAACATAAATGGATAAAAGAAACAGGTTCAGATAGTATACCATGTTTTTTATGTAAATGGTATCCTAGTAAAAAATTAAGAGTTAAATATAAAGATTGTTTTTTAGAAGCACGTAAAAAATGTTTAATACAAAAAGACTTAATAGAATTTGAAGAGGATAATCAGATTGATTCAATTCAAATAGAATTATCAGAAATAAAAATATTAAGAAAAAGAATAGAAAACTTAGAAGATATGCAAAGATATATTTTACAAAAATTAGAACTATTGGAATTAAATAAAAAAGGAAAAAATCCAGAAATTACTCCTAAACCAGAATTAGTTCAAGTTTTTTGTAATTCAGAAAAATTAAAAAGTATTAAAGTAAAATGCTATGTTAGAATAGAAAATTTTGAAATAATTTGTTTAGGTTTAATAGATTCAGGATGTAGTCATTGTGTAATTAATAAAAGAATCATACCAGAAAAATATATAATAAAGTCAAAGGAACCTATAGAAGCCCAACAAATGGATGGGAATTTTTATAGTTACCAAGATATCTTAAAACCAGCAAGAATTAGTTTTGAGACTAATTGTGGAAAAAGTACAGAATATAGTTTACCTAAAGACTCAGTATGGGTAAGAGAATTATCTTTAAATACAGATTTAATTTTAGGATTAAGTTTCTT